TTGTAAAATAAGATGAATAATTTATTTGATAGCTATCACATTAGAATATATATATGGGCAGAAAAAAGCGCACTTTAAATGTCAAACTATGTCATAATATAAAAGTAATGAGAAGTACCTTCAAGCTGATCACAGTACATTAGACGTACTGTGAAAGAATTCAAAATGATGTTCAGTCATCTACAAAATAAGCCTGCATCTCTACTTGATTAGGCGATTGGTTTGTATTGGATTTCGTTGGATCTAGACGAATTGAACATTGAAATTGAATCAATCAATATTTTAGTTAGATTATTAGTTAGCAAAAAGAAGAAGTTCTACTCATATCTATATTTCAGTTTGTATGCTGTATTTAAAAAGCTTCACGTAAAACGAAATGACATTAAATAGTTCAAAGTAACTTCAAGTACAAAACGCGCTGTTTCTTGTCACAGATTCATATTGCTGTTTTTTCTGATATTATAAATAATTCAACAACAGTTTAATAAAGATTAATAGAATCAATAAAAGATGTTGAATCTCTTTATGAAGGTTTTCTACTACGATTCTGTATGATTCAATTCAATTTATTTTGAATACTACAAATACTTTGTGAATATGATGGAGGATATTTATGATCACAAGCTAAATTCGAATGTTACAGAATGTCATTTGTATTTTTGTGTATTTTTCTAGAGTATTTTTATTTAATAGTTTTAAACATTATTTCAAAAAGATTTGGTTCAACACAAGGCTTCCTTTATTTCAACTGACAGTAAAGTTTAAAAAGATTCCAAAAATGTCAATAATTTTTAAGTGTCAAATTGGACACTTGCAAGTGTTCGTCTATAACAAAATTTGTTAATGATAATGATGCAGTGTAAAATAAAAATTGTGAATAGGAGTTTTCGACCTCATTTAGTTAGTACGGTCATCATCAGCTTGCAGGTATGGGTATGAATATTCACTTCAACGATACTGAAATGCACATTCACACATCTATACCAACATCCTTGTCATCATTAGTTTGTTTATTGCTCGTAGCCAAGTGTATTTTCTTTGAGAGACCACTCGTTTCTTATTAAAAAAAAACTTTGAACACTTTTTTAGCTAATTTTGAATGACGAAATCTATTGACAGACTGAAAAAGGGAAGTATTTCTTTCTACAGATCTTTATTCGAAAATATTTATTTAAATTAACATTCCCTAAAAATAAAACACAATGCTTAGAATAAGGTATTGCACAAGTATAACCATATAACTCTTATAAATAGTTAGCAACATAAATGTATTGTATTTTATTTTGATTTAGCAAAAAAAGATGAAACCATGCCAATGAAACAATCATAAAACATAAAACACAATAAATTAAAAATGCATCCGGCATGTCAGACATCAGCAACTGCATTTAGCTTGTTACTTTTCGATCTCTGTAACACTGTATAGATATTAGTTTGCATATCTGTGCCATATGCTCACTTTTTAGTATCTTTTATACTCGTTCATAGATACTGATGTGAAGAAACCTAACTCATGGGTTGCAGCACTCTAGCTCAAAATACATTCAATACATAAGATCAATATGCATTATGAAAAATTCTAACAATATTGATTGTAGTTAGAAGAGATGTACACATCACAGAGGTACAGATTCTGCCGCTAAAATAAAAAATTCTCCAAACTGCAAAATTTTTGCGAAAAATTTCCCCGATATAAAATTCAATGAAAAAACGAGTTATTCCCGTTTAAGATGTATGATAAAACAAATAACTACGACTACTCGACACATTGCAAACGCATGTTAGAAAAAAAGAATATTACTATTCAATATCGTTTAGTTCAGATAATCTTCCTAATTGTACTTTACGTAAATGATTTAAAACAACTGAGTCAGAAGAAGTAAGTTTCCAGACGAGATATGGTTAACTTTTTTTTAACTGAAATAATCATTGTCTATCTTTAGGACTAATATAATCATTGAGTGAACTTGTAATAAATAAATCGACTGAATGTATTGGTGGTGGATTTCAATCAGAGATGCTCACAAGTTGATTTTCTTCTACCTTGCCGTGCTCAGGACAGAGCTAAGATTGCCTTTTTTTACCCTGCATTGTGGACATCTCCGATTCCAAACGTAGCATTGTGACAATAAATTAGTCATCCTAGGAGTTGTGTACACATACGCACACAATAACCACTATATGTAGCAACAGAGAAAAGACGGCAAGCAGTGACATTGCATTAGGGAAAAACCAAAACGAAAATAGAAGACAACAAATAGTGCGTTTTGCATCATAATTACGGACAAGGGGAAAGAGCCAAAGAAAAGTAGTGAGATGCATGATCAGCGGAAACCAAAGTAAATGATACTGACACGACGAGAAAGAAATGGATGACTCTTTCAAAATTTAACGAAAATAAAAGAAAGAAGAAAGGTTCAAGATCTTATCGATGCATGTATATACGTATAAACCAAGATTCTTTTAGAAAACTGTAAAATTTTTTCTAAGAGGGAAAATATTTTCAAAAAAATTTCCCCAGATCTAATAAATTTTCAAAAATTTCCCCGTACGGCCGTACGCGCACGCAGGTAGATTCTGCACCTCTGACACATCATTTTTCAAATGTTCTTCAAAAAACGATCAGCTCATGATTTTAAACGTAGATGGATGTGCTCCGATATAATTTTTTCAAATGACGAAAACCGTAGATCGCTGGCTGCTGGCGTTATTAAGTTATTCGATTCACAATCAATCACTTAATATTGCGAAACAGATAATCAATATGTTTGTAATAGATTGTTTAACTAGAATAAAAATTTATGCAATCCATTATCTTTATGGCAAGCTGAGACAACATTCATGTTTTATTCTGTTAGTTTCTATTTATTTAATAATGAATACGTATACAATGTGTACATAAATTTTAAAAGATGAATTTTATTGAGTTCAAAACAAATATCTTTTTGAACCATTTGTTTACTTCTCCTTATTTGATAATCAAAGACAAATGGTTCTTTGAGAGAACTACACACAAATGAACAGATCTTTCTTTCAAAACGGTGAAGTCTATTGTGTAACACTCAATGACGCTCTTCATTTCATTTCGTATCTACTATTGTCGATGATGTTTGGCATCTTCACTGTTGCCATGGCAATTACTCATTAGAATGTGGTCAGAGAGTAGCGTGCTAAAGATTAAAAGGATAGCCGAACTACAGTACGGCCTGGAAACATCATTAAATTACAAACAATATCAAAACAACACTCGTCATGCCTAAGGTAGGTCTGAATGAAGTGAGAACCCATATCCACAACTATACTGACACCATCAGTGACATACACGCTGATGTACATCCACCATCACATTCATACCCATCATTATCTGCAGCATTTTCAAACAGATTTAGAGTTCTCTCACCAAAATGAGCTCTGAAAGAAACTACACGAAACAGTTATTTCAGATACGTTGTTTTTGCTTTTCTACGGTTATTACGGAAATAATTCAAAACACACTGTTTGGATATACAGGATGTGGATGTGTAGTTGCTAAGTAGGTATTGTTCTCTTCGTCACAAATCCCATATGAAAAACTCGCACAAAAACTAAAACTCATGCTACACACTCTACGAAGCAGGGTCGAGACAAAGTTCGGTCTACAGAAAACCTAATGATATCATTCGATAGAACCCGTGAAATTGTGTTTGAAACATGAAAAAAGGTCTCTGAAGCACGCTCCTAAACGAATTTCTGCCAGTATCCCTTGATCTCGGTGCTAGGTTTAACTAAGTGCAAGGGTGTGGACCTTATCTTCATCAGCTTGCTTTTGTTTGCGAGACTTTGGAAATATCCTGCTTTTAGTAAAAACTTGATTAAAGTGGTTATAACTCTTTATCAGAAGGTGTTGAACCCGAATCTATCCGTTACACATCTTTTTACCCCATCAAGACTTATTCATAGGCCTAATTTGAAGCAAAACGATGTCTAACGATTAAATGTGTTTCGTCGTTCGTTTTTTGTTCGCCATATTTTTATTAAGATGCAGCTAAAGATCACCAAAGCTTTTCTCATGCTGACCTGTAGAACATTCGTTATATTCTTAGAAAGAATATATTTTCCGAAGAGACTGCAAAGTTGAAAAGAGATTTCGAAGATATGTTAACTTAACCATACTTACTAGTCCATAAAAAAATACTACAGATAAAATTCAGTTCACATGACATGCTTTGTATACGTTGAGTATGTTTTTTTTTGTTGAAAATATATTCACTTTATTCTGTTTCTGATGAGCATGCGCTCTCTTTTGCAGAGTTAAAAAAAAACGAACGAAAGAAAGAAGAAAAAGAAGAAATACAGCTGTAATAGTAATAGTGATGAACACGTAATAAAGAAAAGAAAAGAGTCACATGTGAGTGTGACAGGTAAACATCATCGTCTTAATCGTCAAAATACTCTTCATGCAATTGACCTGTTTATAAATTGGGCAAACAAAAAGAGACTCAGATATGCACATAGGAGAAACGTCGAAGTACACATACATACACAGACAAAAAAAACCATCAGTTTTCATACGAAGAAAAAGAAAAAGAAAGAAAACCATGACTCTGTGCATATTCTTGTTTTTTTTGTTTATTTTTTTTTTTCAAAGATACAATCCTAAGAAGGAGAAGAAGAACAAAATAAAAGTAGAAAAATGAACATACATAATTTTACAGCACAGAAATAAATAATAATAAGATCTGTTGTTTTATATAATGCGTTTGTTTGTTTTTTTTTTCTAAAAATTTCTACTCTGCACACACATATTTATATATATATATATATACGAGAATAGGTAGACTTTTCCGGATACAAATACCTTCTGCCAAGCAGCTTATAGTGGGCAAAGAATTTGTAGTAACCAGATCAGAATCATAGATAATCAACCGGACTGGTTTACTCTCGAAAAAGAAAAAGAAAAGAAAAAAGGCACACACACTGTTAAAACAGAACATAGAGTGAAAATGTTGCAAAATCTATAGTTATGACCGTGGTTGATGATGATGCATAGTTTTATTTTGTTGCATTGGTGTTGTTGGTGCTGGTGATATTCGTTGATTTAATCCACTATTAACAATCGATGGGGAATTAGGTCGTCGTGGTGTTGGAGCCATTTTTGATGGTACATTACTAGCGACATTTTTTATAACAACATTAGAAGATATATTTTCCATTGGTTCGTCATCTTCAAGATCATCACTATTTGAACCAACATCTTCATTTTCCTAAGAAGAGAAAAAAATCGAGAAGCTTAATTTTATGTGTTTTTTTTTTGTTAATATTAATTACCATTTCTGGATATAATTCAACAGCTTTATCAAGTAATGATCGAGCACTTTGAGTTCGTTCAATGAAATAACTTTAAAAACGAAGAAAAGGAATTTGAATTTATTTATTTATTAAATAGAAGATGAAGGTAAAAAGTTTAGCAACGAAATATTTTTTTGACTTTTCTCTTTGCTATTAATAGCTAGAATAAATCGGAGAAAAAATTTGATTAACTGAAGCAGTTTCTTATCATGAGAAGTATGTGTCAAATTTCTATTAACACGTTTCGGTGAAAGATCTCTACAACAGCAGTTTTTTAGATTCTATCACAAACGTTTTTTAAAGAAGTTCGTCTGATAGAGAAAACATTTCTAAACAAGATAAGATGTTTCCGAAGTCTTCACTACATATCTTCATCGAACTACATTCATTCTATGTAGCCATCTAGAGAAAGACTTCCTCTATCTAATATTGTATAAATGATTCTTTATTGAGTTACACTCTCAAAACGTTTACTACCAAATATTTTTTCAACGTTGTGGAAGGAAAAATGGTTCGATACGAATCTTTTAGGATATAACGGAAAATCTGTAAGATTTCGTTTTAAACTCCAATAGTTTTGTATTTTGGATACCGAATCATTTTTTAGTCCTAGCAATCTCAAAAAGGCTTCGTAGCAAAGATTTCAAAAATATATTCGGGTAAAGAACAATTTTAGATTTCGCAGACCATACGGAATTTATTTTGTTCAGAAACGTATTTTCTATTAGATTAAAATGTTTACATAATGGTTTTAATAGAATTCAGAAGACTGGTATTTTAGAGATCATTTACCCAAATCTGTTAACAAGAGTTTGACATATAACATTTATGATAAGAAATATTACATCTTTTCTCTGATTTTTTTCTAGCTGTTACTGTTAAGGGAAAAAATACAAAATACTTCGTTTCTCAAGTTTTTGCTGACAAGTTATTTTATATTCTTTTACCCTTGTGACATATCATTGCTAGTAACTGGTCCTTGTGATGGATAATAAGGATAATTTGATGGTATATTATTATATGTTCGCTAATAAAATAAAAGAAAAAGTATAGAAAAAAAAAACAAATTAATAAAATTTTTCTTACTTCTAATTGTTCATGTAACCAACGAACAGCTTGTGACCAACGTTGTTTTATATCTGTATCAGTTTTTAATATATGATGAGCTTTTGGACAACTAGATTAAATTAAACAATAAAATAAAAACATAAAATTCTTCTCAAAATCTAAATAATTTACTTGGAAAATAATTGTACAAGTGTTTTAATACAATGATATGCTTTCTTTTGATAAGTTGATTTTGATTTTGAAAACATATCGAATAAACTTTGAGGAGTTGATTCGTATCCACAATTTGTTGTTGTTGTTGTTGTTATTACTGATGAATTATTAACATTTGGCATAGGTATACTTTTTATTGCATATAATAATCGTACTTCTTGCCAAGAATCTTCAATTGTAAGTACCATATAAAGTACATCAAGATGTCCACGAAAATCATATGTATGATACATTGCAAGCTAAACAAAAAAAATAAAGAAAATAAAGATTTACTGTTATTGTTTTTCTTTTTATTTTGATTATTTGAAATTTACTAAAGTCATTATTTCATTGAGTACGATCGATGTTATATCAGGATTTTCCCATAGAAGAAAACGAAGAAGACGAAGTGATTCTTCACATGAACCTGAATCTTCAATAATTTTTTTTAAAAATATATCTCTTTTATAGATTATATCAGCCATTTGTTGTGGCATTGAACATATTGGACCATTATCATATGTATAATATGGATTTGGTAATAGTTCTGTATCGGACTAAAATTATTGAATAGAAAAAATTTTATCAATTTGATTTAATTTATAAATATTTACTTGTCGTGCTTTACAATACATGGAAACATCAAAACAACGAATTAATGTTGAAAGTATTACAAATAATTTAGCTGGTTCACCATAACGTGGTAATGTTGAACAAGATGATGTATTATCATCATTAGCCAAATTAACAAATAATATTGGAACGTTTAGACGTATTAATTGTTCACACTGAAAGAAGAAAATTTAGAAAAAGAAATGCAATAGTTTTTCTCATGTTTATAAAAGATAGGAATACTTTCGATTAATTTCATTCATAAATGAAATTTACTAATGTAAGCGGATTTCAAACATTTTTCATTCAACTAGATAGGGAAATTCTCTGATTAGATTTTGTACTGAAATTAAGTCTTTCGATCTCGAATACAGATAAATGACAAGAATCTCGATCTTGTTACACACCTACGAATGCCTCAAGCTTACATTCGTGAGGAAACATTTCTACGTATCAAATCCCTTTTGAATTGGAATTATGCACGAAAACAGTTTCAAATTTTGAATTAAAACTTTTCACAAAGACAACTCTCAATAAGAATAGTTTGCTGTAATGTTTCAGATCTTTGATTGTTTTTATCTTCAGATATCAATATGATAAAGCATGTTTTTTTTCATATCGCTCATATACAACGGCACAGTTCGATATTCTTATTTTAGAATAGGTACAAGTGAAAGATCTGGAATTTTCATAATAAGCTAATTTCATGAAGACTTATCTGTAAGCAAACTTTCAAATCGAAATTTGAAACTCAATTTGCTTGGTGTTACAACTTTTTCTGATTACGTCACTAGTATATTTTCACACAAAGCTATAATAATATATAACACAGATGAACTCAATGAATTCAAATTACTTTACCGACCTGTACTCAATCGTATGGATCGTTACATAACTATGATTCTCTAATCAAAGAAGCAAAACTTATCCTGTAGTCAAAATGCTACTATATTTAATGGGACTTTTTATGCCTTTAGTAATAGACAATTAAAAATATGAACACCGTAGGCTATGACAAACGTTTTTGACATACAATCATAGACTGTACATCAATAACGTTTCGTTATAACATATAAACTACTTCCTTATTGCATGTCTAACGGATAAAGTAAATATCTTAACCATAGACAATTCTATCAATTAATCAACTTTAATTCTATAAGATTATATTTGGTTTTTAATAATGATAACTTACTTCGTGACGACCTATTGATGAATAATTGACAAAAAATTGAAAATATTGTGTAAGCATTTTAACATTATCAGGCATTTCTTTTTTTAGTAAACGTAAAACATGATTGAGTATGGATTCTTCAACTGTTAAATAATTTTTAATGTCATCTAAATAAAAATCAACATTCGAAAATACAAAATAAAAGATATTTTTTGTAATATAAATTACCTGTTGGAATATTCGTTGTTTGTTCATCTTGACGTGAATGACTAGCAAGTGCAACAAGCATTTTACCAAATGCATTACGAATCTATTGAATTCATAAATAAATACAAAAAAAAAAGAAAATGAAAAAAAAAAAAATTTACTTCAGCTGATGTACAATCAATCAGATATTCTTGAAAACGATTTGGATGTTTAAATAAAACTTCTTCAGCTAAATAATATCGTGCTTTTCGTGACCATCGAATACAATGTATCATTAATTCAGTCCAATCATTTGCAGGACCGCTGAAAAGAAAAACGACATATGTAAATACAAATAACAAAAACTTCATTTCTTAAACAAACCGTAAAGCTTTTTTTGTTCGCCATCCAACAGAAAAAAGAAATTTCGTAGCTATTTGAACACTAACTAAAGCTAATTCTTCAATAGTTTCAATTGTCTATTCAAAAAACAAAAACGTTTTTTTATAAATATTTTTTTTATAGAAAAATCTTCATACATTATTAGACGAGATTTTATCTCCATGTTGTTGTTGTTGTTGTTGATAGAAAGTAACAATAACTTGTACATTGCTTTGTACAAGTCTTTTCATAAAATGAAAATATTCAGGACTAAAATGTATTCGATTATGAAGAAATTTTATATTTTGTTTTCGAACACTACGTTGAACAGATAATGGCATACGTTGTGTTTGATCATCTATGAAAACATTTATATATAATTTTAAAAAAACACAAACGAAAAAAAAGTAAATAAATGTACAAAGTTGTAATTTAGCTAAATCTTTTTCAAGACTATTTTCTGAATTTGATTCATTATTAGAAATTTTTTCATAGAATAATATATATGCATTCCACCATCGACGTTGTCTAAGAAAACAAAATAGTTTTATAAAACAAATAAAAAAATAAGCTTAAATAAAATATAATACCGTTTCATAACTGGTTGATCAAATGATTGTGCTGGATAATCTCCACCGAAACATTGTGATCGAAGTTCTTCATCTTCATCCATTTTACAATCACTTACGTCTGTATCATCAAATTTATACCAATGTGGAGGATCAAAAGAATTTGATTCTTCTCTGAATTTATTGACAAAATTTTTTTTTTTTAAATAATCAAAAGAAAAAAAACAAAACAAAACTTACTTATTCTGTACAAATGAATAATAATGACCACCATTCGCTTGTCCACTGTGTACAATAATGCCTACTAGTTTATAACGAGTATCACCATTATTATTGCTATTGGTCGATTTTAGATCATCATCAGCACTTTCATCAATAACTGACATGCCTAATTAGAAAGATATTATAAGTATATTCATGGATGTGAATATATGCACTCTTTTGTTCACTGTAGTAGATTTTAGAATTCTAGATACAAACGATATTGACTCATAGACTTTTAGTTCAAAAAATAATTTGACAAAAGGTTCGTTCATTTGTTGGATTCTTAAAGGAAAGTACAGGAATTTGAGAGTATTAGATTATCATGAGAATTTTGCGCTCGTTCCGAACATGAGTTTCAAGTTTTTGTAAGATTCTTGATCTAGGAATCATGAGCTGATCTGTTAGAGACCTATAAATTAAGTTTGGAAGAACTTCAGCATACCAAAACTTACTATTATGAGTGAAAATTATTTCAAATATAGCGAATAAAACGACAAACACTTCTCTATTAAAAAGTATACTAATCATAACTAATCAAGTTAGGCAATCTTCTCAATTTTTATGAAAAGTAGACTTACAAAGTGAGCTCGCCTATGCTTGAATGATTGTTATATCACTCGATAGAGAACAATGTCGCCTTTAACTCTGTGCAAAAAAGAAATCAATAAAATAATGTATGCAGTGTAGGAGACTACTTGTGTAAACAACGCAGAATTCCTTCATCCACACTGGATCTTCGCCCCTCCCCCCACCCGAAGAGAGCGGCTCCTAACTCCTTAACTATAAGCCCTAAAGAAATTTTGAAAATAATATTGGAAACAGCAGAAGTTTTTTCAAAATTCTACAGGTGCTTTTAAGAAACTAAAAATTGAGTGAAAACTGTGTCAAAATACTTTTCAATCCACATTATAATAAATCTCTGACTTTTATCTAAAAGAAATGCAATCGTCTTCCACAATCTTAGTACTCCACTGATTCATTGAACTTCAGCTGCACGCGTTTTAGGTATATTGCGAGATAAAACTACGGTAATCTTGACTTCATTTCGATTTTCTCAGTCGAGGAAGTTTTATTTCTACAAAACAGCTGAATTTTATAAAACATGACTGAATCATCAGTAGACGTGTAAGAAAATGCATTGATCTATCGGGCCTGAAATTTTTCAATAAGTTTTGAAAAATTTTTCAATGGAAAGTATAGAATCAATTTAGAAGAATGCAGCCCGTAACATCTCCAAAAACTGATTTGGTATGTCAGAAATTTTCAAACCTCAAATTTCTATTTTTGTTTTGAGGCGGCGACTCAACCGATCGGTTTATACATCTAATCATAAGAACTAAGCCGTTCTTAAACTTGAAAATCGAAATCAATACAACAGCACCCTCGTTTTATCATGCAATTACCATTAATCTACATCCATATATTTAGATAATACCAAGTTGTACGTAAGACTAGGGTACCGTCTTCATTGTAATCCTATCTGCTTATATGATAATCTACACTATACAATCAATATGAATTACTAAACTTGCATTTCATGTACGGTTTTCAAATTTCTATACTCTATGTATCCTATGAATTCTTAGTATTTTTCAATAGATGAAGTTAAATAAAGTTCAATAGTAAACAATATTTCCAGATGAAATCCAAATCAATAGAATGTTTTATGATTCATCTATTAATTAAGCTCTTAATTTACCTTCTGCTTTTGCAAGACCTTGAACTGTATACGGTTCCATATTCAATTCTCTTGGAAATTCGAAATAATCATTAAATTTAATCGGTGTTTCACGTTCCCAATCATAATCAAATCGTTTAAGTTGAATAGCAAGAATAGGTGGTAGTTTTTTAAAACAAGTTCGTTTAATCGTATCAACCTGAAATAAAATAATTAAATTAAAAAAAAAAAGAAATTTCCTAAAAAAAATTCTATATTTTACTTTTTTATTGCATTTTTCACAGAAATACGCATTAGGTCCATCGAGTAATTCACCTATAACATACTGTTCAAGAGATTCTTTTAAATTTTGACTATGACGAATATCAACACTTAATAATGTAAAATCTTCTTCACGTGAATATCTTTAAAAACAAACGAAAATAATAATAATAATAATTCAAAAGTAAAATTATATATTTTTGAAATCTAATATTACCTATGTGGACAATCTTTACAAATTTTTTGATCAGCAAATGTTCCACCTAATACTTTCGAACATATTTGTGGTAAATTTAATGCTTTTAATGCTTCATCAACACTATCAACAACTGTATTCAAAAATTCTACGGCATCATGTTGATCACGTAAATTCACCGGTTCACCAGAAAATCTATTTAATCAAAAAAAAAACGAAATTTATACATGACTTTTTTCTTTTCTTTAAAACATACTTAAATATTTTCCAAAAACCTCTTGGAACATAATATTGTAATTTGGATTCAAGTAAATGTCCAAATATCCATTGTATATGACGAAATATTTGTATATTATATTCATTTCGTTCATTTGTTGAATCTTTTGGTGATAAATCCATATTATTATTATTATTATTATTATTATTATTATTATTATTATTATTATTATTCTGTTCTTGTTGTTTATTTGGTGATGTTATTGTAAAATTATCTTTATGAAAGAATTTTCCTTCAGAAAATGAATCAAACTAGATAATAAAAAACAAACATTAAAAATATAAATGAAAAAATTCGAAAAGTTTCACATACAGCATCTCGACGTTGATCATCATCATCAGTTTCATCATCACCATGTCCTGGTGGAATTTTAACTGATAATAATGCTGTACGTAATGATCGAATCATAAATAATTGTTGAAGAACAGAATTCATATAACATGTTGCTCCACCATTTTTTAAACCAACAAAACCACGATTTGGACGTGGACCAACAAGTGGAGCAAAATCCCATTCATTCAGACTAGAATCGGGGACTACAAGAAAAATAATTAAATAAACAAGTATTTTTTTATACTAATTAAATTCTTCAACGTTCTGGTCCCGATTATGATATCATACTTCGATTTGGGAATTATTAAGATCTCGACATTTTAAAATATTTTCACTGTTTTAAACTGCTAATTTATAGATTTGAATAGTAACTTTTATACTTTGATTAACGCTTAGTTTTTCGGTAAAAAGATTGGTTGTCCTAGTTACTGTATCCAGTGGAAAAAAACGTGATCGAAAAATCAGTATCTTTACAGAAGGATAGCAATTTTTTTTTGTGAAAAGTAAAATGTTGGACAATAAACTATATGCATAGACTGAAACTAGAACATCTATTTATAAGAAAAACTTTCGTTCTGAAAAAAAAACATCTTCAATAGAGTTAATCACCAGTTTTTTCCATTAATTCGATAATAAAAAAACTTCCAGAACATATTCTTCTATATCTGGAGTATGCCTTCAGTTAACATGAATGCAATCAGTGTGAACAACCCCATTGGGGTAATGTACCAATTGCCAATTTTTGAAACAAAAAAATATTTTACAGGAGGTTAGAGTAGCGGCCTCTTTCAGCGATCCTTCATTGCAAATAGTCTTTTTCTCATCATCTTATTATTTAGTACAACAAGGTAATATTTTAGTTGCTCAAATTATTTTGGACCCAGTTGAACCATACTTTGATACCCGCAATGATATTTTGTAATTGGACTGGATAGTTGACCAGAAGATACCAAAAACATTTTGTCAATTTTTCGCATTCAGTGACTAGAGCATTTGTAGAGCCCATCAGATACGGAAATTTGGACTCTAACCAAGGCATTCATTCAAAAAATATCATAAAAATGCAGCATCTCTGTAGCAACAAGATAAGGATATGAACTCTTTACAAGATATTTATACCTACATAACGTATATAGTCTCGACTAAAAAGTAATGTATCAGTTGTGGGATTTTCCTCGTGAGATAATGAAATTACTTAAGTACTTATGGATAAAAGATTATATTACCTGTATAAAATAGATCAGTAATATATTTATCAATTAATTTTAAATTTTCAATACAATTTGTTCCTAAAACAACTAATAAATCAAATGCAGCTAATGTTGACATAGGTGTTTGACAAATAGCAACAGGTGGTTCTTTAAGTAAATCAAGTTCATTATCTTCATCATTATTATTTGAAGTTTCATTATTATTAATTGATTGTTTTGAAAGACGTTTTCGTTTTAACAAACGAAAATTATAAAGTAATGTTGATACTGGAAAAAGATATTGTTCAATAATTTGTTGTATAAGTAATTGATCAATACCATAATAACGTTTACGTTCACTTGTTTGAAATTGTAATAATTCTTTAGCAATATTTAAATGTCCACGAAGTAAATGATCATCAACAGGTAATGTTATTTGTTTTAAATATAAAATTTCATCATTTAATTGTTGAGATATATTCGGTGGTGATATACTACGTGAATAAGCATATGATAATAAACGACATAATAAAAGAAAAAAATCTGATGATTGTAATGAATAATTTTTAAAATTATCTGAAGATTTATTTAATAATTGAAATTGTTTTTGAAGAAAAAATTGTATTAAATTTTCACATTGGCCTTGTGAACAACGTGATGTTAATAAAAAAATTTGTTCCGATGATGTATGACGAATTATTTGATATGGACAATAAAGTATTAAATCAATAAAAAAATATTCAAAAAAGTTTTCTTTTAATAAATTTTCAACACTTGATGATACAAGTGCTAAAGATATAGATAATAATTCTAGTCCTTCACGACATGCTAATTGACTTTCATCATCTTCTTCATTATCATCATTTATAATAGAAATATCATTTGAATTGAGCTAAACATTAAAAAGAAAAAAGAATATTTTATTGAGAAACATGTTCTTCTTCAGGCATAAAGATGAATGTGATGAAAACAAGTTGAGTAGTGTATTATTCGTGTAAATGAAGTAAAACAGATGAAAATTACTACTGAAAAGTCTTAAAAATCAACTTGAAAAAGCCAAACGAAAGAAAATGAATGGATGAGATATATTAAAGCATAGTTAATTTAGATATGATATAGAAAAACATCCGCAATCATACTAAGATAAAGAGTTTTTCAGTCATCCTTATGGGTAGCGTGAAAGCATCTAGATGAAATGCTTGTTCATGTTTGACCCACTTAAAGTATTCTAGATAAATAAAACGCTACCAGTTAGGACAGATTAGCACCCTTCGAAAAGGACTTATGAGCATATCAAAAATCAATTTTTTCATCATTCCAACCAATTTTGAAAGATTCTCTCACTAGTCTCGAACTAAAATCAGTTGATAGGATCTCGTGAGTAAGTCAATAACCTACAGTGTTTCGGGTTATTTGGCCTTTGTTGCTAAGATATCGAATTTGTGGTGGATTTGTCTTCTGGGCCTCTAGGTTTCAAGCGACATTATACTTTTGAACTTTGGCCTAAAACTTTGTCCACATAAAGGCATTGGTTAGACTAGCATGTAGAGATAAATTTCAGAATTTTTTTTATTAGGTTTCTCCAAGTCATGAAGTTTGTTGAATAACTGTTATTACAATAATTATGATGAAGTGCTTATATTTTAAAAAATTTATATCTTGAAGAGAGTTATTGTAAACTTTTATTTCGTTTGAAATTTAGGATTCTAAAAGGAGAGGTCCACTAAAAATTCGGTATCCTAATAACAAAGGTCGCACAGTCCAAATCAACCTTGAGTATTTATTTACTCATTAGACCCTATCGATAGGATATACTTCGAGTAAATAAATCCTATACGTCAATACCTTTTTCTTTTTCTATACAAATAAAAGATAAAGAAAAAAAAATTTGATCGCTTCAATCTTCATAAGAATTTGTGTATAAACTGGCAGTTTCGATTGATTCTATTTTTTTTTCTTTCAAGAGAACTAAAAACAAAGCTTACATTTTCCTGTTTAAATGTCTGATGTATAACAAGAAAATCATTTTTTAAATTTTTTTCAAATGAATTTTGTTTTGAATCTGATGCTAAACACCAAATAAGACGTATTAATTCTCTAATATGATTATATTGTATTAAAGAATTTTTTGATATAGGATAATCACTTCGATGTGCTATTAATGTAGCTGCTATTTTTTGTTCAACTGACATTGATACATGTTGTTGTTCACCAACAACATTCATTATAGGTAATGGTATTGTTGGTGTTATACTTAATATTTGTTCTAATGATTCATTAAATGGTGATGAATTATTTGAATTTGTTAAACGTAATTGATATATAGCAAGTATTATTAAAAGACGTTTAAGAAGATAAAGTACAATAAAATAAATTGATTTTCTTGTTGATATATCACATTGATCAGTATAATGTTTTTCACTTAAAATATTTAATAAACATGATAAACCACCAGCATTTAAAAATCGTACATGTAAACCTTCAACATTATTATTATTTTGTAAACATATTTGATGTATATGTGCTGGTAAAAAATTAATTAATGTTGCTTTAAGATTATAAAGCATGTGTGATGGTGAAACATTAAAATAAAAATTATTTAAACGATTTAAACATTCTTCAGCACTTGGTTGTTCATTATTTGCTGTTAATAATGTAAAACAACCATTCAACGTTTTTGTTGAATATAAATCAAGTGGAATTAAATCAAGAATTTGACGAGCAGTATCGCGAAGACGAGTATTACCTTCTTTACAAGCCAAATCAGCAATATCGATAAGAAATTGATAATATTCATGACTTTGAGATAATATCTAGATGAAAAATAAATGTTTTATATTCAAAAATATAAACGAATTTATTTATTTTTGATTAGACTCGAAATAGTCAATAGACGCATAAAAAGAAATTTTATCTTACCACAGATGGCAAAGAAGTTTCTGCATTCATATCAATATAATCCAGACTTCGATTATGATGAGATGATGTTAAAGAATTATTATTATTATTATTCATTTCTGATTCAGACGAACTACTCTCACCACTTGAACCACCATGAGTTTGATGTTGAACCCATCGTGCTGTAACCGACTAAATGAAAAAAATAAATCAATATTGTTTAGTTTTTAAAAGAAAAACTCAACATACAATTCTATCTCGATCATCAGTTTGTCCTAATGTTTTATTATCATCAGTTGCATAGATTATTTCATTATTACGATATAATTCAATAATACCATAAGAAGATTTATATCTAAATATAAAAAAATAAAAATTGTTTTAATTTCAAAACGAAAAAAAAACAAAGTATAAAATGAATACCGATTATGAATAAATCTTCGAATATGTCCCCATGTATCATTTGAATGAAATCCATGTTCAAAATCATCTGTTCGATTTTGACCTGTATTTACACGTATAATTAATATCATTGATCGACCTCGAAATGCTCTTTGAAAACAAAAAAAAAACAAAACAAATATTATTTATTCAATTTTTTTTAATTATCTGTTTCTTTTTTACCTTGACATCGGTAAAAATGATCGTTCTTTATGATATGAATTATCACATTCAGCTAAATATTCTCGAAGTACAATTAATATTCGTATTAATGAATTAAGTTTATGTTGATATGCTTGTTTAGAATCTTGATGTGAATACATTAATTTAACACTATCATAAACAGGACGTAAACGTTCAAAACAATCACTTATAAATGATTCATGTATACGTTTAACATCAGTTTTTAATTGTGGACTTATATTAGTATATATTTCTCTCATTAATTGTATACCACGATCAGCAACTTCATCTGAACCATTTAAAATTAATTTCCATAAATATTCAATACCAACAAGATCTTCATCATTCATTAAACGTATTGAACGACGTTTTTGTTGTAATTTATTTAATTGAGCATTGACTGATTTAAAAAAACGATCGAAACAACTAAAGATTTAAGATAAAAAATGAATTAATTAAATATATGTTCAAGAGAAATATTTATAATATAGTATCGAATTGCTCAAGAAAAATGAACAAAAGTTTATTCAATACAGTATACAATTGATGAGACAATGTTTTCAACTGAACAATAGCTGTTGAATTTGAATTCTGTATGTAAGCTAGAATCCTGTGAGACATGAAAAACTTTATAATGATAAGTTCTCTTTACTCTTCTGTGGAAATTTATAGTCTCTTGCATGGTGTATACCAAGAAATCGCATGACGGTATGTTGACCCGAGATTTGGTTTGTAGATAGATCTATTTGTCAGTAGAATGTCGTGGAAATTTCAGATCAAATGTACATCTCCTACCTGAGATACTAATGTCCCAAAAATCACTCACATTTGCTGAAATATGCTAGAATTTTACGTTTTTCTTTCGAATTTTAATATCTCGAGAAGGAAATATTCTTTTGAACTTAAAGTTTTAGAGCATTCTATTAACAAATAGATTTTCGTATAGGAAAAATCTCAAATCTAAATACCGTTATTCGATTTCTTGGTGTTTACCGACCGCGCAAGAGGCTGAAACTCCAATGAAATGCCTATAAGTCTGGACAGAATATCTAAAAGAAATTATTCCATTGAGGTTTTTCGTATTTTACTGAGATCTACCTCATGGATTCAGTCTGAGTTAAAAACGGGTTGATCAGTTCAAAATGTTTCTTCATGAGATTGTTGTCTGACGAGAGAATACTTTCAACTGGCATTCTCAGTTTGAGTTCATGGTATAGCTTGAAAAGAAACCCTCAACAGATTCACACTATTAGGTCTTTTTCTTCTCGAGTCACGAAATTTTAAATTTTGCCCTAAAAATAGATCTTATTGTATTTATCACATTCTAAAAGTCTCAGAGAAAATGGTTACTTTTCTCGAAGGATGTTTGATTTGCGAAATAATTTCTTTCTCGCAAAATATTCGAAAAAAAGAACTAATCCATTTTGGGAGAAATTGTTTAGATAGAAATTTCTTGATTCGATTTTTCTTCTAACAGGCTGAAAATTCAATAAAATGATCATAACTCGAGAGCAGAAAGACTTAATCGCATGAATTGTCTTGGGGACTTTTTTTAATTGACACTGATGTATATTGGAAAAGTTCTCTCAAGGCTTACATGCAATCAGAAAAAATAAAATATTTAGTAGTAGAACCACAAGAAAGTGAAGTCCTGATTCTGACATTGTAAATGTGCTTGATTCAAGAGAGGACTAATGCGACTTCAGTACTACTTTGAAATGCTCATTGTATATCACATTAGAAATCCATTTTCACGACCTCTACCGAAATGTCATCTAGTCGTTGTGATTAAAGATAAATCATTTTTTCACATGTAAAATTCCTAATCAAGGATGTAACTTATTCAAAATTTTCTATGCAGCGCTACCATCTCTTCCTTCAGTACTGAGCTACGTCCCTGTTCATAAGTTTTGACAAAATATTAATAAATAAAACAGCATCCTACAACAAAGATGTAAAAGATTGGTCTTTTTGATTTACTAAATTATATATCAGTTTGTTTCTCTTTATTTACATAATTGATCATTTTTCGTATGTTAGTTAAATTTGATCATTAAATCTTATTTCAACTTACTTCATGCCAAGATCTGTTAGAAGATGAGGTTCAAGTTTCATTAAATGACTTTGAATAAAATCTTTTGCTGCTTTAGGTTCAAAATCATCTTCATCAATAATCTAAATAATAAGTTTTTCTTCTGCTAATGAATTTAATATTTCTTTTTTCTTACTTCAGCAAACCAACGAAAACATTGTTCACGATCATTTGGAAAAACAGCTTCTTCAGCTAAACATATCCAAATTGTTTTTGAATGTTCAGCAGATAAATACATTCGTCCTTCTTTTAAAGTAAATCTTTAAAAAAAGAAATGAAATTTATAAACTTTTTTTTGTTTGATTTTCAATAAAAAAAATTTTACTTGAGAAAATTTAATCGTTCATGAATTTGTTGATTGTGATTAAACCGACCATCTGAATAATATTCTTCTGGTAATATATTTGATTTAGTTTCTAGAAAAAAATATTAGATTTTATTCGAAATTGCTCCGTCTGGTCTGAATGAGCACATTCAAACTATCGGTGTCAGCCACACTGAATGTTTCCGAGTTTGATTATTTATTAAAAATGGTTTCATCTGATAAAATTTACTGTGACATCTTAAAAACGACTTTTTTAAAAGTAGCAATCGATTTGTTCAAGATAGAAAATATTATTGAATGAGAAAAACTATTAAAAAAGACTTAATTAAAAAAAGAAGTGAATCCACGGTCAACTGTGGATTTTGATAATTTAAGCTCTGCTTTGATACAATTCTTAATAAATGACTTGAAATACCTGGTCATTAATAAAGCCAATTGCTACGAGCTAAGCTATAATCATAGAAAATTTCTTGAAAAGATTTACACATACTTCAATCATACTTCTTAATCCACATTGGATAATCACTCCGAAGGTACGACGTACTTTTTCCCGGTTTTTTTATTCGATAATTAGCGCACCCTACATATTTCTCAAAGGACTAGAGCCTGTTGGGACCGAATTTTTCGAATTCGGAATGAATCCGACGTGCTCTAATGATATGAATAACTATTAGGAGAGTAAGTGTTATGAATTTATTATTACTCAATTCATTTATATGTCAAATTTGTCATGCACGGAAATAAAAAAATCGATTTTATAATATCCTATTTTTTTTCTATAAGATTATTCTACTTATTTTCTTAATTTCAACACATAGTCTACTACAATATCTATAATTTGAAAAGAAAACCATTAAATTTCAATTTTACCTTCTTTATGTTTTCTCGCACTTTCCATATATTGACAAAGATTTTCTGTAACAACACGAGTTAATTCATATTTTTTTTCTAATATATCAATAACACCAGTACGATTCTGTGGACCGGGCATACGTGGAATGTTTTGTGCAAAAACACCCTCATGGAATTGCATGCATATCTCTTTTAATTGTTTTAATGAAATAATAACATGACCACGATCATGTTTAACTTCATCCATAAATTTATCAAGCCATAATAATTTTGTTTTTTCTTTTTCTTGTAAACAACTATAATCAAGTATTTTTAAATGTGCTGTTAATGCTTGATCAATTATTTCATTAGGTAAATGTTTATCATGTGCTATATTCCATAATAATTCAAGAACTTTATTTGCCATTAAACCTTCTTTATCATCTTCAGCTAATCGACGAATTAATTCAAGTAATTTTTCTTGTTGTTTCTTACTTGCTTTAGTCCAACTTTCCTAAAGAAAAGTTCATAGTAAATTTAAAAAAATTTTTACTCAGTGTTGTTTTTTAATACTCGAAAACAATCAAATAAATGTTCAAGTTGTTCAGGTGAAAAGTCCCATGCTAATTTTGCAAGTAAATCATGAACATTTTTTTCAATAGCTTCATGTTTTCCATATGATGAATTCCATATTTTATCTAAATCTATTCGACTTAATGCTTGTTCTTTTATAATAAAACGAAGAATTTTTTCTAATTTTTCAACATATTGTGGTTGATGTAAACAATCACGTAAAACAATATCAAGTACTTGATTTTCTTGTATCCATTGCTAAATAAATTAAATCATAATTGAAAAATCGATTATATCTCACGTGCAGGTTTTCTTACGATTAATTTCTCAGCTGTTAAACTTTCGGGTTCGTCTGATCGATTTAATGGTGAACGTTGGATTGTATTAAGACTCATGATTAATTTGTTTACTTCATTAAGAGCATTCATTTTACCACTGAAAGAATTAGTTTGAAGAATTCTAGAAAATAAACAAAATAAAAATTTTCGAATCAACCGATCTTAGTAAAATTTTCAAAAGCAGAAAGCGTAAAAGAAAATAATCACATTCATGTTCGAGAAATGGTTCATGTCGCACATTTTTTCGTACTACTACAGTATTCCTAAGGGTAGACGGTAGTGCATACAAGTTTCGGTTCCAGCTATAAACGATTCCAGTATTTTCTATGCAAAATCGAACTATTTGTTAGAAAGAATTCCAAAGTAAACAAGAAGAAAACCGTTGTAGAATATATTTTACTAATAAAAAACTGTGCATCGTCATCTATTATAAAAATTTATCTTATAATTGAAGCAGATTTTCGTTCTGTAAAGAGGACAGGCAGTTCAGATACATCAACATAATCAGAACAAATAGAAAAATAACTCAATTGCGTCAATTTCGACAGAGTTGAAAGATGTTCGCCCATTTTGGAATCACACTTTCAAAAAGAAAACGATAGGACTTGTCAAATGGGCTGTTGTTTTTTGTTTGTTGGTCGTCGTAAGGAAAAAATATTGCAGTGAACAATGCTCGAAAACTGCTTCAGAAAATTCTGACTATGCCTAGGTAGAAAGGTCTTACAAAATTGTATATCTTACTATAAAATTTAAAATTTACCTAACTAGAAGATACTCGTGTGAGTTTTAAATAATTATTGTTATAAGATTCTTATAAAGTCTGATAATTAAGTTCTTACAAGATCATAATTTTATGTCTCACTTATACAACCAGTTTCTATAAGGAAACATTCCAACAGAGTCATACACAGAGTGACGAGGAAAAATACTTTTCACGAAATTTGCATAATTTTATTTTATTTCATATCATCTGTAGCTTGATCATGATTACCAATCATTTAAATCAAGTGAACATTCAAGTTTGTTAGGAACTTTTTCTGAACATTCATTAATTTTGTAAGTTAATAAATGACATGGCTGGAGATGCTGGTGAACCTACATCCGATGAAGATGCTATGATAATAGACTTTTATTTTGTATTATAATTATTTTCACAACTATTTTAGTTAATCTCTCTCAGGTATTGTTCGTCACTGTTACTAGTGGTTACATATACAAATCGATAGAGTAATAAGAAACATCATAATAAACTATTGACGTCAAAAGTAAGCGTTTACTAGACAAATCACTTTTTTTTCGACCCTTTTCTCATCACACTGAAATATTAAGTTACGATATTTGAAACCTTTCAACTCACGTACAAAAGTTTGTAGCCAAAAATGAATTGAATCGAAAAAACATTTTGTATCACAATCAGAGAAGTGCGAGTCTCAAATTTGTTGAAAGAAAGACTACGAGAAAAAAATTGTGTCAATGGAACTAACGACCATAGTTAAATATTCTATAACTTTAAATGAATTCTCCTATACATCATATCAATCAGAACATAATCCAAGGGTAATGACTCAAAAAAAAAACTGTTAATCGTCGGTTAAACAAATCAAAATATGATACGAATAAATTTTGGATTAGTTTTTTTCTAAACTGCAACTAAAAGAAATTCGTCCTGCATGCCTCTAGTGACCATACTTCTTATTTTTTTTGGCTCATACATGTATTATTAAAAGTGCTTTAAATAAATTTTTACCTTAGAATCATTTTAAGTCTAAGTGCATCTAAATTGCGACATTCTTTTTCATTGTCTGGTATACGTGAAGCCAAATAACGTAACCATCTAATAACTGTTGATAATGTATCACTTTTTGGTTCAGTTTTAGTTTCAACTTTCAGATCATTTTCTGTTAATTTATCAAGAAATTTCGGAACAAATTCCTAATAAAAACGAAAATAGAAAAAAAAACAAATTTAATATAAATAAAATACTAACGATGATTGGTGCAAAATATTTTTTAACAGTTGTTTGTGTTAAATATTCATAGCAAAGGCCCCAAGGTTTAAGTAAAGCAACAACGACAGATATGGTTAATTTTGTTTCCGATGATAAAAATCGTGTTAAAATTTTATCAAACCCACCTAAATCTCCAAATCGATTTATAAAATCAATTAACCAACCCTTTTAAAAGAAAAAGAAATGCATTATTATTCATTTGATTTTTCAATTTAAAATTCTCACTCGTTGTGGTAGACGAAATTCATTTGATGAAGCAAATATTTCCTTATCAGCTGCTAATTGTAAATCACTTAAACGACTATGGTTTGATTGATGATATCTAAAAGGCACCAAAAAAATAAAATAAAATTCTCAATACAGATTATTTCATTTAAAAAGAATAAATTATTACCGGCAAGAAGGATTCATTAATAAACCAAGAATTTCAAGTAGTGGTAAACAATCATCTTCTATTTTAAGTACACATAATTCAATAAAAACCATACAATTTTGATAAATATATGTCTAAAATTTAAAGAAAAATTTCTTTAAATTATATTTTATTTTTCATCTACATACAAATATTTCATGTTTCCATGTTTGTACAGCTTCATCACAAAGAACTTTAGTAAAAGAATTTACAAGACTATCTCGAATAAATCGTTGACATGAATCACTTTTTGTATCTAATTCTAAACAAGAAAATTAAAGCAGATTTTTTTGTTGTATTTTTCGAAATATTTACTATGTGCAGCAAGACGAACAGCAGCTCGTAAACATTTAATTAATTCACCATCAGGTAAAACAGGTACGACCCATCTTGTTTGATTTAATTGTTCTTCAAGTTTAATTAAATCATTTAATGGAAATTTAATTTGACCATTTTCATCATATATACTATTATCATCTATTTGCATTGATGATTGTTCATCATCAACATCATCAGATGGTTCATTCTCCTGTATTGTTGAACTAATATAATCAGGTGGTAATTGTTGTTGTTGTAATTCGTTTGTATCAGACGATTCTGTTGGTTGTTGACCATTACCATCAAGTAAAGGTGATTGAATAAAATTATCTTTAGCTGTCATTGAATATTAAATAAAGTTAAATTTGTTTATAAAAATGGGGCGATCGATATGCGCCCGAAATAAAAATGGACTAAAGGGAATATATCTAAAAAGAAAATTACAAGATGAAATCGAACAAAACATTATGAGTCACTTATTCAAGAACATTAAAGAAATCAACAACAAAACAACACAAAAAAATATATATAAATATCTATTCGATAATATTAAAATACCTCGATAAGAAAAAATAAATAAATAATTGTTTAATAAATTTAAAATATTTAGCTTTTTTTTCCTTGTCGTTTTACAGATTATGAATGAATGTAATGATTTTTATTTTGTACTAAACATTCTTTTTTTTTTCAGACGAATTTTATTAGAACAAAAAAAAATAAACAATATTAAACAAATCACATTGCTCATTTATAAACATCGACTAAATAGAGATAGAAAGAACATTCAACCAGCCATTCAACCCAGACGGAAGTCTCACTACGATGATTCATCGAAAGCGACAAGAAAGATAGATTATGAATGTTTTTTTGTTATTTACCATCAACTGGCGACATTCTAGCTTTTCATAGGAAAATTAAGATGGCGTCAGAAGAGTGATCTCCATTGTAAGCTGTCTATATTGTTCTGTGTCTATTGAAAAATCATTGATCATATTCATAAACAATTCATTATACACCAAACAAACGAATGTACCAAAGAATTACTAAATATTTCTATTTCATTGTATTGAAAATTCAACGCACATATTCGTTTTATTTGAATCAGTAATGATACTATTCTAGGAATACGAAGAAAATGTAAAATTAATTTCTATTTTAGTTCTTTTACATACAAATTTTACACATATATACATTAAGAGAAAAATTAAATTCATAAAAACAAAATAATTAAATTTTTGAACATGTTGATATCTATAGATAGAGAGATTCCACATTATCTAGTTTCTGTTCATTTCTTAATTATTATTCATTGTTACTATGTATAGATTTATATTATTAATTCTTTTTCTTAATCATTATAATATGCAATAATTTTTCAGATGGTTTTTTAAAAAATAGATAAATTATACCATCATGTGCCATCAACAGGATACAAAACATGTCACAGTATGGAATACATAATTGAAATAATTATACAGCCATAATGATGATCATGGATGAAAGATTGACAATCGGTCAATGTAAATGTTTCAAACCTAGTGCCTCTTAGCTGTATATGTAGAATGTTTCGATTATGAATGTCACGCTTACATAAACACACATCATAATATAGAGGTGAAACAAGATAGATTATGAATATATAACTAGAAAAATAGTAGGTGATGATATTTTTTTTTTGTTTTTATGCTTTCCTGTGAGAAGGAAGTGAGTAAAAGATCTTTTGAGTATCAGGTATAGTTAGAAGAACGACCAACAGAAGCTATCTATTCTTGATCTAATTGAGTACGGCTTCAATAAAGAGAAAACACCATTACATTATCTCGAACAACCAAAAGTTTTAATCACTATTCATATTTTATAGATTTTATCGACATGAAAAACACAAAAAATTTTAGAAAAATTACAGATCATAATAATTTAATACTAATGATTAATAATTTTTATTAGTTAATTGTGAAAACTTTGAAGTAGGAATCTGGTGATCACATTCGGTGGCTGGCTCTGCTCGCTGCGATCGGTTGCGACCAAAATTAGAAAACTCGAGTCAATGTATCTGACCATTGGATTCCTGCTTCCAATTTTCCATGATTTTTCCAGTGGAAAATCACATTTTTCGGTAGAAATATGCCGGAAATTCAAGGATTCTGACGCCTATCTACTTTATCTAGTATTGTTTGACAACTTTCTTTTTTGAAAGAAAATATCTGTAAAGTTTGCCTGCTCCTGTTGATCAGATTGTAGATAAAATTAATTATTTTCAGGCGTGCACTTAAGCCAATGATATTTTTTTGCCCTCCGATATTCATCCAAACAGATTTTTCAGGCTGGAAACTCAGCAAGCATTTGAATAAACGTGCCATCGTTGATGTTTAGTTGTTTCACTTTTCCCTTAGCTTTAACTGGTAGAACAGTTTAATAGGCGTAGAATCTTAGTTGCCGAATGTGAAAGAAAACTTTCACATGTTGTACCTAATTTGGCTCAGATTTTTGGTCTAATTCTTCTTCACTTGTAATGAAAGAACTCCACTTCAAGCCATTTCCGATGTATGATTCAATATTGAATTGTACAAAACTAATTGTTTCCTTATGAACGTTTTCCTAGTCTGCCTGATTAAGATACACGCTAGTTTGGTATATGACAATTATTTATATTTTATTAAGTGTTTGTTCAATTTTATTCTTTGATTTAGAATTACTTATATGGAAAGCGAAGAACAAGATGATTTTATCTACGAATAGATATGTAGAGTATTCAAAAAGTCATTAGCGAAAGAACATTTAATTAAATATGTTTTACTGTGTTTTAACGAAATGAGCTGATTTTTGTGTGAGAATAAACGACAGTTTCAAGTTTTTATTCATCCATGAACCGTGTTTTCGTACACATAAAACCAACAAATATTTGTTCACTATTTCATGAAGCAGCTTTGATGAAGATTTATTTACCATCTAACTATAAGTAGTTTTGCTAAACTGACTTTGTGTTAAAAACTAAATCACTCATTAAGTTTAAATATTGTTGTGCAACACTTTCATGATTTCTTGGACTATGAAAGATAGTTTCTTCTATACTAGTGTTGCTGCATCACATATCAGTTATACTGTTTGACAATTAATTAAAAGAATATTCTATGATTTCAGTCTGTACCAGTGAGTGAGAAAAGTGTTCATT